GTGTATCTCTCTGTGTTTCTGTGTATGTCTCTGTGTATGTCTCTGTGTCTCTGTGTATGTCTCTGTGTCTCTGTGTATGTCTCTGTGTCTCTGTGTATGTCTCTGTGTATGTCTCTGTGTATGTCTCTGTGTATCTGTGTCTCTGTGTATGTGTCTGTGTATGTCTCTGTGTATAACTCTGTCTCTCTGTATGTCTCTGTGTCTCTGTGTATGTCTCTGTGTCTCTGTGTATGTCTCTGTGTCTCTGTGTATGTCTCTGTGTCTCTGTGTATGTGTCTGTGTCTCTGTGTATGTCTCTGTGTGTGTCTCTGTGTATGTCTCTGTGTGTGTCTCTGTGTATGTCTCTGTGTCTTTCTGTATGTCTCTGTGTCTCTGTGTATGTCTCTGTGTCTCTGTGTATGTCTCTGTGTCTCTGTGTATGTCTCTGTGTATGTCTCTGTGTCTCTGTGTATGTCTCTGTGTCTCCGCATTTGTTAATCTGCGTTTGTCCGCGTGTTTGCCTGCTCGTGTCTCTTTGCGCGTGTCCCTGCGTGTCTCTGTATGTCTTTGTGCGTGTGTGTGTATGTGTGTGTGGCTGTGTGCATAAGTGTCCGTGTGTGTGTCTAAGTGTCTGTGTGCGTGTGCGTAAGTGTCTGTGTGCGTAATTGTCTGTGTGTGTGTCTAAGTCTCTGTGTGTCTAAGTGTCTGTGTGTCCACGTGTCCGTGTGTCTGTCTGTCTCCCTTCCCGAGGAATTCTGCCCCGTGACCTCCTGCCAGCGGGCGTTCGACACTCCACGTGGCCTCAATGTGCACATGGCCTGGCACAAGCGTCGTGGTGGCGTCACCGCCACTTAGTGGCGAATGGCGGTTGTTGTTGTTGTTGTGTGTGTATGTGTCCGTGTGTCTACGTGCAGCTGTATGTCTATGTGTGCCTGTATCTATCGCATGTATCTATCTCTGCACGCACGCGTCAATATGTATCCCTCTAAATGTATCTACAGCATCTGTGTTTGTGCCGTGTGTCTGTGTGCACCCGTGCCTGTCTGTATGTATCATCTCTGTACGTATCTGTGTCCACCCGTGCCTGTCTGTATGTATCATCTCTGTACGTATCTGCGTGTGCCCGTGCCTGTCTGTATGTATCAACCCTGTATGTATCTGTGTCCACCCGTGCCTGTCTGTATGTATCAACCCTGTACGTAGCTGTGTGCATCCGTCCCTGTCTGTATGTATCACCCCTGTACGTATCTGTGTGTGCCAGTGCCTGTCTGTATGTATCATCTCTGTATGTATCTGTGTGCACCCGTGCCTGTCTCTATGTATCATCTCTGTACGTAGCTGTGTGCATCCGTCCCTGTCTGTATGTATCACCCCTGTACGTATCTGTGTGTGCCCGTGCATGTCTGTATGTATCAACCCTGTATGTATCTGTGTGCGCCCATGCCTGTCTGTATGTATCACCCCTGTACGTAGCTGTGTCCACTCGTGCCTGTCTGTATGTATCATCTCTGTATGTATCTGTGTGCGCCCGTGCCTGTCTGTATGTATCAACCCTGTACGTATCTGTGTGCACCCGTGCCTGTCTGTATGTATCATCTCTGTACGTATCTGTGTGTGCCCGTGCCTGTCTGTATGTATCATCTCTGTATGTATCTGTGTGCACCCGTGCCTGTCTGTATGTATCATCTCTGTATGTATCTGTGTGCACCCGTGCCTGTCTGTATGTATCACCCCTGCACGTATCTGCGTCCACCCGTGCCTGTCTGTATCATCTCTGTACGTATCTGTGTGCACCCGTGCCTGCCTGTATGTATCACCCCTGCACGTATCTGCGTCCACCCGTGCCTGTCTGTATCATCTCTGTACGTATCTGTGTGCACCCGTGCCTGTCTGTATGTATCATCTCTGTACGTATCTGTGTGCGCCCGTGCCTGTCTGTATGTATCATCTCTGTACGTATCTGTGTGCACCCGTGCCTGTCTGTATGTATCACCCCTGCACGTATCTGCGTCCACCCGTGCCTGTCTGTATCATCTCTGTACGTATCTGTGTGCACCCGTGCCTGCCTGTATGTATCACCCCTGCACGTATCTGCGTCCACCCGTGCCTGTCTGTATCATCTCTGTACGTATCTGTGTGCACCCGTGCCTGTCTGTATGTATCATCTCTGTACGTATCTGTGTGCGCCCGTGCCTGTCTGTATGTATCATCTCTGTACGTATCTGTGTGCACCCGTGCCTGTCTGTATGTATCACCCCTGCACGTATCTGCGTCCACCCGTGCCTGTCTGTATCATCTCTGTACGTATCTGTGTGCACCCGTGCCTGCCTGTATGTATCACCCCTGCACGTATCTGCGTCCACCCGTGCCTGTCTGTATCATCTCTGTACGTATCTGTGTGCACCCGTGCCTGTCTGTATGTATCATCTCTGTACGTATCTGTGTGCGCCCGTGCCTGTCTGTATGTATCATCTCTGTACGTATCTGTGTGCACCCGTGCCTGTCTGTATGTATCACCCCTGCACGTATCTGCGTCCACCCGTGCCTGTCTGTATCATCTCTGTACGTATCTGTGTGCACCCGTGCCTGCCTGTATGTATCACCCCTGCACGTATCTGCGTCCACCCGTGCCTGTCTGTATCATCTCTGTACGTATCTGTGTGCACCCGTGCCTGTCTGTATGTATCATCTCTGTACGTATCTGTGTGCGCCCGTGCCTGTCTGTATGTATCATCTCTGTACGTATCTGTGTGCACCCGTGCCTGTCTGTATGTATCACCCCTGCACGTATCTGCGTCCACCCGTGCCTGTCTGTATCATCTCTGTACGTATCTGTGTGCACCCGTGCCTGCCTGTATGTATCACCCCTGCACGTATCTGCGTCCACCCGTGCCTGTCTGTATCATCTCTGTACGTATCTGTGTGCACCCGTGCCTGTCTGTATGTATCATCTCTGTACGTATCTGTGTGCACCCGTGCCTGTCTGTATGTATCATCTCTGTACGTATCTGTGTGCGCCCGTGCCTGCCTGTATGTATCACCCCTGCACGTATCTGTGTGCGCCCGTGCCTGTCTGTATGTATCACCCCTGCACGTATCTGTGTGTGTGTGAGCGCGCGGTGTGTGACCGTCTCGCGATCAGCGGGAGGTCTGATTATATATGTACCGCGACGCGTCACATCTAATCACCGCCTCCTACTCCTCCTCCACCACCACCACCACCACCTCCCTCCTCCCTCCCCTCCTCCTGCACTCCTTCGACGGCCGTGACTGGCAGCCCTCAGTCCTATAAAACCAGCGCGCCTCGGAGCGTCCCCATTCATTCATCAGAGACGCGGCGGTCACACGCGCACGACGGACGGAGAGCGGGGGAGGGGGGAATTCCTCGGGAAGGGAGCCAGACAGACACACGGACACGTGGACACACAGACACTTAGACACACAGAGACTTAGACACACAGACACTTAGACACACACAGACACTTAGACACACACACGGATACTTACGCACACAGACACTTACGCAAACACACACAGACACGCACACACACACACAGACCTAGACGCACACACAGCAACTTAGACACACACACAGACACTTAGACACACACACACGGACACTTACGCACACGCACAGACTTAGACACACACACAGACTTAGACACACAGACATAAACACACACACACATACACTTAGACACACACACACAGACACTTAGATACACAGACATACTTAGACACACATCGACAAACTGGTGAGAGCGAGCACGTTGCTCACGCTGTGTCTCTCTGCGTCCGCTTCCTATGTACAAGTTTGTAGCAGCGAGGCGGCGTTTGTTTACGTGTTTGTAGCTACAGTTGCAGGCAAGGTGCGATCTTACCCGGCTGTCGAACACAATAAGTGCTCGCGAACGGAACTGTGCAGCCACGGTTGTTGTTGTTGTTCTTGCTGCTGTTGTTGTTGGTAGGACCGGATGGATGAGTGAGCGTGCCTTGTTCTGTGCGAGGGCACAGCGATGAGACGGAGTTACGTGCGCGTGGCATTCGCTGTGCGGTGCTAAGCGGCGCTCACACACAGACACACGCGCACAGACACACACACAGACACACGCTCACACACACACGCACAGACACACGCACAGACACACAGACACACGCTCACACACACAGACACACGCACAGACACACAGACACACGCTCACACACACAGACACACGCACAGACACACGCACAGACGCACACACAGACACACACACACAGACACGCGCTCACACACACACAGACACACACACAGACACACGCACAGGCAGACGCGCTATAAATAGCCCAGGGGTCGGCAGTAGTTGTATTTAATTAATTAATACACGGTGCGTGAGTGTGTGCGTGCGCGAGTGTGTGTGAGTGTGTGTTTGAGTGTGTGTGTGTTTGAGTGTGAGTGTGTGTGTTTGAGTGTGTGTGTGTGTTTGAGTGTGTGTGTGTGTGTTTGAGTGTGTGTGTTTGAGTGTGTGTGTGCGTGTGTGAGTGTGTGTGTTTGAGTGTGTGTGTGTTTGAGTGTGTGTGCGTGTGTGAGTGTGTGTGTTTGAGTGTGTGTTTGAGTGTGTGTTTGAGTGTGTGTTTGAGTGTGCGTGCGTGCGTGTGTGCGCGCCCCAACAGTCTGTGAATGCGATAAGGGTGGCGATCGTGTTCGTATCTCGCGAACAGCACTTTGGAGCAACAGTCGGTCAATGGCTGTAGTAAGTGGCGTGTCTGTGTATCTGTGCGCGTCTCTGTGTGTGTGTGTGTGCTGTCCGTGGCTCTGCGTGTCAGCGTGTGCGTTAGTAATAGGTGCTGGCTGTCTTCTATGCGGCAGGCCAGTGTTGTCTTAGTGTCTGTGTGCGTGTCTTAGTGTCTGTGTGCGTGTCTTAGTGTCTGTGTGCGTGTCTTAGTGTCTGTGTGCGTGTCTTAGTGTCTGTGTGCGTGTCTTAGTGTCTGTGTGCGTGTCGTAGTGTCTGCGTGCGTGTCGTAGTGTCTGTGTGCGTGTCTTAGTGTCTGTGTGCGTGTCTTAGTGTCTGTGTGCGTGTCGTTGTGTATTTGCGCGTGACCGCGCGTGTCTCTCCACGCGTGTCTCTGTACAGCTGTCTGTCCGTACAGCTGTCTGTCCGTGCATCTCCCTGTCCGTACAGCTGTCTGTCCGTACAGTTGTCTGTCTGTACAGTTGTCTGTCCGTGCGGCTGTCTGTCCGTGCGGCTGTCTGTCCGTGCGGCTGTCTGTCCGTGCGGCTGTCTGTCCGTACATCCGCGAGTGTTGCTGTTCTGCGCGCGCGTGCGTGCGTGCGTTTGTGCGCGCGCGCGCTTCGTGTGCGCGCGCCTCCAAATGAATTCAACATAAAACCTACAACGCAACAACAACAGCAGCACCACCACCACCAACACCGCCAAACAAACAAAAACCGTCACTCGCGACTGACGCGTACCAGAGGGGGACGATAGAACCGTCCACCATGACCCCGCTCTCCGGGTCCGGGACTCCAACCCAGAGCCAGGAGCTGACCACCGCCTACGCCCTGCACCTCTCGCCCGAAGAGATCGTCATCGATGTGGTCGGTGACAGCGACGACGCTCGTGGGATTGACGACGATGATGATGATGATGGCGGTGGTGGCGATGATGATGATGATGAAGACGGTGGCGGTGGTGGTTGCGGTAGTGGCGGTGGTCTTGTGGACCGCACTCATCGCGACAGCAACAACAACAACCACCATCCCCTCGTCGTCGTCAAAACCTCGGGTGGCGCCCAGCAGATGTCTCGTGCGACAGACCACCACCAGCACCAGCACCACCAGCACCACCACCAGCACCACCAGCACCACCGCCACCACCATCACCACCAACACGGAGACTCGGACCAAAAGCCGGACCTGGATGTCAACCGTGACGGGTGTAACTCAGCTGGCCGCGGGGACGACGACGTCGATGCACCCACCGACAGCGACCCACCGCAGAGCGCTGGCCACGCGAGTAGCGGCGGTGGTGGTGGTAGCGGTGGTGGTGGCGGTGGTGGTGGTGGTAGCGGTGGCGGTGGTGGCGGCGGTGGCTCGACGGGCGGCAAGAGCAGCGCCCTGGTCAAGCCTCCCTACTCGTACATCGCCCTCATCACCATGGCCATCCTGCAGAGCCCACAGAAGCGACTCACGCTGAGCGGCATCTGCGACTTCATCAGCGCCCGCTTCCCCTACTACCGCGAGAAGTTCCCCGCGTGGCAGAACTCGATCCGCCACAATCTCTCGCTCAACGACTGCTTCGTGAAGATCCCGCGCGAGCCGGGCAACCCTGGCAAGGGCAACTACTGGACTCTCGACCCTGCCTCCGAGGACATGTTCGACAACGGCTCGTTCCTCCGCCGTCGCAAGCGATTCAAGAGGCCCATGACCGCCGACCAGCACGCCGCCGCCGCCGCCGCCGCCTTCATGATGCACGGGTTGACCCCCTACGGCGTCTCGACGTCCTACTGCGTGCGCTCGGCGGGCTACGGCTTCCCCGCGCACGGATACGCGTTGCACTCCGCGGCCGCCGCTCTGCAGCATCACCATCAGCAGCAGCAGCAGCAGCAGCTGGTGCATCATCATCAGCAGCAGCATCAGCAGCATCAGCAGCAGCAGCATCATCATCAGCAGCAGTATCCGTACGTGCCTCCGTGTCTGACGCCGGTGCTGCCTCACGGTGTACCGCTGCTGTCATCGATGCATGAACATTTGCAGGGAACGGCGAGAAAGGTGTTCGGCGCTGGGATCGTTCAGATGCACGCGGCCGTGAACGCGCAGTCTTCCCTGCCGCTGGCGCAGCAGCATCATCATCAGCAGCAGCAGCATCAGCAGCATCATCAGCATCAGCAGCAGCAGCCATCCACGCCACCTCCATCACCGAAGTACGTTTTGTGTAAAGCGGTGGACAAAGACACCGCCGCTTCCAACAACATTATCACCGCCACCACCAACACTAACACCACCACCAACAACAACAACATCATCTCCACCACCACCACCACGACACCGCCAGGATCGACCACCACGAACCGCAACCCCTTCAGCATCGAGAGCATCATCGGCATCGCTGCGGAGAAAGGAGACGCAGCCGGCAAGACGAGCGGACACGGGGCACTCCTGGGGGCCTGCGGCGGCGTAGGAGGCATCGGGGGTCCCGGGGCCACGTTCCTTCCTCACGGGGGGGCCTCTTTCCGCGGGGCCCCCTCGCTGCCCATGGGCGCGAGGCCTGGACCTGGCTTCTCGTTCACGCGTGCGGGGTTCGGCCTCTCCCCGACGCTCCACGTGCTCTCGGCGCCCTTCGTGCAGAGCGCCACGCACCCGGTCTCGAAGTGGCTCTCCCCGTGACTGCACCTCACCTCCTCCCCCCCCCCCCCGCCACCACCACCACCACTACCACCACCACTACCACCACTACTACCACTACTACCACCACCACTACCACCACTACTACCACCATCACTACCACCACTACCACCATCACTACCACCACTACCACCACCACCACTACCACCATCACTACCACCACTACCACCATCACTACCACCATCACTACCACCACTACCACCACTACCACTACTTCCACCACCACCACTACCACCATCACTACCACTACCACCACCACCACTACCACCATCACAACCACCACTACCACCATCACTACCACCACTACCACCACTACCACCACTACCACCACTGGCCTCCCACTCCGTGACTCTCTACTCCCTGCGAGGCTCTCCGCGAATCGCAGCCGAGTCGCTTGCGTGACTCCGAAATGGATGTCCTCCGTGACTCTCTCAACCCAAGAGGTCTTTGTGTGACTCTCAACCCAAGGGGGTCTCTGCGTGACTCTCAAGGGGTCTCTGCGTGACTCTCAAGGGGGTCTCTGTGTGACTCTCAACCCAAGGGGGCCTCTGTGTGACTCTCAACCCAAGAGGTCTTGTGTGTCTCTCAAGGGGGTCTCTGTGTGACTCTCAAGGGGGTCTCTGCGTGACTCTCAACCCAAGGGGGTCTCTGTGTGACTCTCAAGGGGGTCTCTGCGTGACTCTCAAGGGGTCTCTGTGTGACTCTCAAGGGGGTCTCTGCGTGACTCCCAACCCAAGGGGGTCTCTGTATGACTCTCAAGGGGGTCTCTGCGTGACTCTCAAGGGGGTCTCTGTGTGACTCTCAACCCAAGGGGGTCTCTGCGTGACTCTCAAGGGGTCTCTCTGTGACTCTCAACCCAAGGGGGTCTCTGTGTGACTCTCAACCCAAGGGGGTCTCTGCGTGACTCTCAACCCAAGGGGGTCTCTGTGTGACTCTCAACCCAAGGGGGTCTCTGCGTGACTCTCTCCGCGCGTGTGTCCTCACGACAGCCCTCCCTTCGCGTCTCTCTGCGACTCTCTCCGTGACTCCACGTCTCCTCGTCTCTCTGCGACTCTCTCCGTGACCACACACACACTCTCTCTCGCTCCTCGACAATCACCGACACTCTCAGTCGATCTCCGCGACTCCCAGTGTCTCTCCGTCACTCCGTGGCTCCTCGTGACAATCCCTGCGTCTCCCCAGCGAAGCTCCGTGTCTCTCTCCCTCTGCGTGACTCCTCTGTCTCTCCGTGAGTCTCGCCGGCTTTGTCTCTCGTGCTATGGAACAAGAGAGACGTCTTCACAGCCCAGAGTTCGTCTCGTCTTCATCCTCTGAAGGTGATTTTCCCTTCCCACGTGTTCACTCCCCCCCCCCCCCCCTCCACGGACTCGCCACACGCACGCACGCACACACACGCGCAGTGCTTAATTTCAGCCGGAGCTGCCCGGGACTGAATTCCGGAAGAAAAAAAACATTGTATTTGAGATAAATATACACACACACACGCGCACATACGTACGACCGATGTGTCATAAGCGTGCGCGTGTCCACCGCCGGCTTAGGTTTATCATGATGATTATTTTGTTGATGTTGTTGTTGTTAATTAAATTATTTATATCGTTTCCGAACCGCTCGGTTCGACTGCGTTAGGGTTTCCGGCACGCGAACGGCAGCCCCGTCGGCCGTAAGCAAAGACAGAGAGAGAGAGAAGGGGGGGGGGGGCAGGAGGGTTCACGGGATGGGGGAGTGAGCCGGGCGCGGGGTCATTTGCCGGCTGGAATTAAGCCAAAGCGCACCGCGTGCTGTGAGTTGTACACAAGTGTGTCGGTGTGTGTGTGTGCTTCGAGTGTACATAGTGTACGTATTGGACAATCCACTTGACTGTGTAGTTTGCTGTATGCACGTTGTGTCCTCACGATCCGCCAATCGCCTCCCTGCGTTTACATTATCGCCTCCGTTACACGCTGAACTTACCCGATGATTGCTAAACACGTTCCACGCGACGTCAAAGAGAGCGCCGATTCCACTTGCGTGTACGTGTGTCTGTGTGTGCGGGTGTGTGTGTTCGTGTGTGTGTACGCGTGTCTGTGTACGTGTGTCTTTGTGTTCGTGTGTCTGTGTGTATGTATGTGTGTCTGTGTGTGTACGTGTGTATGTCTTTATACACAGGGGAGCGGTAGTGTAGTGCTTAGCACGCTGCGCTACAAACCCGGCGACCCGAGATCGATTCCCCGCTCACGGTCAACACCAGTAGTGACGATTATCTGAACCGGTCCTAGACCTCCCACTAGATCGACTCAGCCTCAAATGAGTACCTGGTGCGGTGTGTCAACATCGCCACTGGGGAGACAAAAGTGGTCGGGCGTGGTGCTGGCCACCCACCCCCTCGTGTGCCATTTCGGCTTTCATAGGTGCTCGCTAAGAGCACTTGCCCCAACAGTCTGTTGAGGTTACACGGGTGATCTTCGTCTGTTGTGTGCGTGTTCCGCGTGATTCTGTGTCTGTGTGCTATGAAGAAGGCCCATTTCCCGGAACGTCGCCCGTTAAGGCCACGCACAGTGGCGTTGACGAATGTGTTCATTCCGCGCTCTTCGCTTCACCTGGGAACGCGTTTAGCAATCATCAGGCTCGTCGAGCGTGTAACCACTCAGCTTGTTTCGTTACACAACGACGAGAATCATCAGTCTCGTTGTGTAAAAAAATATATGCAGCGTAAAGTTGATAAGCAGACACCACGTCTCCTTTTACATATCCGTCTATCGTCATCATAAAAATATAAAAGTAAAAAAATTGTTACGCATCACATCGGTTACGTGGGCCCTCTGTGAGCGCTTAATGTCAGCAGCATTGGTTCAGTCCAAGCAAAACTCTTGGTCGGTTTTGACAGTCGGTGTCTCATCAGCAGGGTTGGGCTGTTGAACCCGCTGGACGTCATGGGCAGCAAGGATCCCCTCTTGAAAGATGTGTGTCCTAGCATTTGATCCAGGCAAAGATGATGGGACAGCGAACGCAATTCTGCTGAACCGATGCTGCTAGCAGAAGTCAGTGCGTCTGATGGGATGTGTAAAACCATTTGTGAAGGTAACAAATATGGCAAGGAAACGTTGTGTGCTTTTGTATTTTTTTGCTCATTATATTTAAGCGGGTGGTGTGTTGCGAGAGGGGGTGGCGGAGGACTGAAAAACGTGGATTGGATCACTGTGGTAGGTCGCAAGGAATGGAGTTTTAGACATTACCGAGCCAGTATTGGAAATTCCACGTTTCCGTGAACGGGGGATCGTAGACGACACTCGTGTGTATGTACAAAGCCACGCACACACACGTGTGTGCCGATGAGCACGTGTGTGCAGTTGTTGTATGTACGGGATAGACACGCGTGGCTGTTGTTGCTGTTGATGGTTTTATCCCAAAAAAAAAATCGAAATAGACCCACGAACCGAATTTTTTAAAACTTCGATCAAACGATAGGTTTTCAAGCGTACCCCCACCCCACTGCCCCCCTTTGTCAATCCACAATGTCCAGGGTGGTGAAGTATGGTCAAGCAACAACAACACACGCGCATGACCGCCGACACGCCTTAGGGAGGACTTCATCCAGCAGTGGATAGGCAAAGCAAGCGGGTACAGCTGTTTTTTTCTAAAACATATATATTATTTGATTTTGTGCTACCGTTCGGATTATAAGGCGCACCTCCATCTTCGTCTATTGTATCGTGGTGCGTCTTATAATGAGGTAGCTGAAAGCGTTGCTGTGGCGTTTGCGGTTAGCGCTACGCCACGCTCCGACCCCGGTGAGCCCGGTTCGATTCCCGCTCGCGGCCACCAACAACACCAGGTGACGATTAACTGAACCGGTCCCGGGCCTCCCCTAGGTCGACTCAGCCTCGAACGAGTAACCCGCTGCGCGCGGTGCAGTAAGGTGAACATCGCCCCACTCGGGAGGCGAAGGCGGCCGGGCGTGATGCTGGCCTACCCACTGACGCTCCCCTCGTGTGTGTCGTGCTCGCTAACAGCACTTGCCCCAACAGTCTGTCACAGGCTACACGCACGCGGGCGGGGGTGGTGGAATTCTTGATCGTCTGTGCGTGAGACCAGAGCAGCTGCGCAAAAAAAACCGCTCACTGATTAATAGCGCGGGCGCAAACCAAACTCTCGCGTGAATTTTGCAAGGATTACTTTCCTACTTTCGCGCGCGTCTTATAATCAGGACATTTCGGGGGGTAAATTATACGAATTGCATTTGTGGCGGAGAGAGAGAGGTGGGGGGGGGGGGACAAACACAATGCGTCTCTCCGAGCGGTGTTAGTTGAAGTTGTCACTGGTACAGGGACAATATAACACGCACAGAGGGTAGCGTCACTTTGCATTTGGACCACATAATTATTTGATACATATATGTGTAGGGTATATACCAAATTAAATACATAATTGCATTTAATATAAAAAAAACTAAAAACAACACGTGGATTTTAACTCGAACGAGGTCGATCATTTGAATCACTTGGGAAAAATTAAGAATTACCCACGATCCATCATAGAGGTTGTTGGGTTAGAAGCTCGCGTGAATATTAATGTGTCGTTGAACACCGCCACCACCCGACACGGCCAATCGGTAAGGTTTGTCACGTGAGCAGAACACGCCAAATTCGTTACTGCTAACGGCACACCGGTGTGTTGGAGCGTAAAACCCACTCCGACACTGACAATCGGAGTTCGACGTTTCGCCCGTAATTACAACTGGCCTCATCAGGTGACGGGCCAGGTTTAATATTGATCGCGAAAGCCTACGCGCCAAATTGAATGACCCACAATGTATGTTTTATATCTGTGTGTGTGTGTATGTATATATGACTCGCTGCTGTGATTCATAACCTTGCCTGTATATTTTGTTGTATATAAATGCACGCGTGCGAGCGTGGGTGCGCACACTTCACACTGCACGTTCCGAGCTATGGACGCGGGGGGATGGTTCGTGACGTGGTGTTAGCTCGTGGTCGGATATCTGGGCAACCACCGCAACGTACA